GGTTATGCTTGGCTTGCTTCTGCAAAATAGTAACTGTTGCTTAATAGAATAGAAATTATTAAGGGTACTCTTCACCTGTATGCTTGGGAACTTAAACTTTTCACTCCTGGTTATAGTGTCTCTGTACAAGAAGTATCCCACAACATTTAGAGGTTCCTAAGATTCGTATACAACAAACCCCCCCAGAGGGAACTTTGTGACCACTAAAGACAATGTAGAATAACAGTAAGACTGATAATGTCTGTTTATGAAAGAGGAGGAAGCTAGTTCTGTGCAGGTGTACTATGGTTCGGGAGGGGGGTTTGGATGGAAAATTGTAGTTTCTTATTTATTTCCTTGATAATGTTTGCTCAAGCTTAATGTTCAATGATTGGCTTCTGTATTCTGCTTGCTTGCCTAGCAACATGATATAAAAGAGCTGGAGTGCTTAGGCTTGGGGCTGCACTCAGACCCTCTAGGAAAAAGTGTAACCCGGCCATAATAAATCTTCCTTTCTTTCTCTAGACTCACTTGTCTATTTGGGCATTTGTAGATCACAGACTATAAGAATAGTTGTAGAATCTAGAAGTCCAAGATCAGCGTCAGGAGGGGTGGCTTCTAAGGGCTATCCTTGGCTTGCAGAGAGCCACCTTCTCACACAGGATCTTTGGTCTGGGCTCTCACATTTGGCTGATTTCCTCTTCTAAATATTTCATTTTAACCCAATATTTTTTTTTTTTAAGAGTTACCTTCAGGGGGCTGGAGAGATGGCTCATCAGTTGAAAGCACTGGCTGCTCTTACAGAGGACCAGGGTTCGATTCCCAGCACCCATGTGGCAGCTAACAATTGTCTGTAACTCCAGTTCCAGGGAAATTGGACACCTTCTTCTGACCTCCGTGGGCATTGCACAACATGGTGCACTTACACTCATGCAGGCAATACACTCATACACATAAAATAAAAATAATAAATAGAATAAAAAAGTTACCTTCAAATATGATTATATTCTGATGTCCTTTGGAAAAGGGCATCAATATTTCAATTTGTGGGGGACACAATTCAGTTAAAAAAAAACAGACAAAATATTGGCTTGCTAAAAGCTCACCTTTTGCTTTTCTTTAACATATGAACTTGTGCTTTGAAATCATTACTATAACTCCAGCATCTACCACTTGCTCAATATATAAATTTGGGGAAGTGCTTTGGCCTGATCCACATCTACTGTTCTTTTGTTTGAGCCCAGGCTGGCTTCAAACTCCTGAATGCTGAGCTACATCATCTGCAAAATGGGGATGAGAGCATCTCCCTTAAATGGATGGCTGCACAGTAAAATGCTAAGTGTGTGGAATCCTTAACAGTATCTGGCAGGAGTAAGCAAACACATTTGCTAATAATTTTATCACCTCTTCCATCAGTACCTATGAACAATTCTTCCTGTTTGCCTTGACAACTAGGTTTGGTGATGGTTTGGGAACTAAATGGACAAGTGACAAATCTGAGATTTCTTTTTTAAGATTTTCAGTGTGTGTGTGTGTTACATGAGTTTGTATGCACTACATGCATGAAGGTGCCCATGCACGAAGGCCAGGTGAGAGTGTTGAACCCCTTGGAGATGGAGTTACAGGTAGTCTTGAGTCACCCAGTGTGGATGCTATGAACTGAACCTGAGTCCTCTACAAGAGCAGCAAGTGCTCTTAACCACTGAGCTATCTTTCCAGCCCTTAATCTGCAATTTCAAAAAACACTGGCAGCAGAGGTGACAAATCCAACCGCCATCTTATTTCACCACTACAACAAAGCCATGTAACTCACATCAGCAAGCCATCTACTTCACAGATTGACCTATGCATTTTCTCTTCTTTTGACATACTTTGGGATAAGACTTCCTTTTAACTATAGAGTCACAGGCTACCCATTCCAGACAGCAATAGCTAAAAACAGCAGGACTGGAAAGCAAACACAGGCTTCACAAATGACCTAGTACACAGGGAGAGGCAGCTGAGCTGGAAAGCCATTTCAATCTTGACTCTAGTCAAACTCTCTGGACAAAAACATCATCTTCAAGTTTCAACTATTCCATTTCAGAGGGTTAAAAGGAATCCTCAGAAACGACCTGACAATCCCAATGTGACCCCCAAAAGCATTGTAACACTCACGGAGGTATCTATCACTCCAGAAGTAGCCTACTGACTGCACCACAGTGAAAAGTATAGAAATTGGGCAAAGAGTCAGAAATGTTAATAGCAGGTTGACAAGAGTATCTGCCTGTTGAATATATAATCATCATCTTTAATCCCAGGACTCAGAAGGCAGAGGCAGGCAAATCTCTGTGAGTTCCCGGCCTGCCAGGGCTCTGTGAACCAGACCAGACCAGACCAAACCAAACCAAATCGATAAGCCCTGACATACCCCGACACACCCCCAAGACAACACCACAACACAAACCAAACCAACAAAGCAAAACACTACCACCAAAAAAACCCCCACCCATCTTGGGCTAGAGAGATGTCTCGGCAGATAAGAGCACTTGCTGCTCTTGCAGAGGACCTGAATTCCTTTCCCAGCACCCACATGGCTGCTAACAAGGACTTGTAACTGAAGTTCCAGGGGATCTGATGTCCTCTTCTGTTATCTGTGGGCATTGCACATGTGGTACACTTACATACATGCAGGCAAAAAAATATTTCTAAATCTTATACTTCTCTTTTCTGTGTGCATGTTCATGTGGGTGCACATATATGTAGGAGACCAAAAGACACCGTATCATTCCTCAGGAGTCATCCACTTTTTTTCTTTTTGAAACGGGGTCTCTCAATAGCCTGGAGCTCACTAAACAGGAAAGCCTGGCTGGGCAGCAAGCCCCTGGGATCTGCCTGTCTCTGGCTTCCCAGTGCTGGGATTACAAGGGCACCCAACCATGCCTAGTTTTTACATCAATTCTGGAGCTTGAACTAAGGTCCTTTTACCCACTGAGCTATCTGCCCCTTTTGTGGAGACAGGGTCTTCCTGGAGTATCTGCTGACCTGGAACTCACCATGGAGAACAGGCTGGGCTGGATATCAGAGATCTGCCTGCCTCTGCCTCTTGAGTGCTGGGAATAAAGGCACAGGCACACGTATGCATATACATACATGCTACCCCATATTGAGACAGGGTCTCCATATTCCACTGTGGACTCAAACTCAGCTGTGTAGCCAAGGATGACCTTGAACTCCTCATCTTCCTGCCTCCACCTCTCAATTACTGGAATTACAGGCATGTGGCACTACATCCACCCAGTACTTTGTCTTTTTATTTCATTTTTCTAGATATGTACTTTATTTTATAAAAGTATTGCTCCATAGCAGATAAGTATGCAGCATGGACAGTTCCAGCACTAAGTTAGAGATATCAGGATATCTTTGAATGTGAACAGGTATTTTTATAATAGCAGGATATTACTAAAAGGCCCTAGCATATCCTACTCCAAGTTTTTTTAAAAATATTTTATTTATTATTTTTGTTTCATGTGTATGTGTGTATTGCCTGCATGTAGGTAAGTGCACCTGTGTTGTGCAATGCCTGCAGAAGACAGAAGAGGCTGTTGGATCCCCTGGGACTGGAGTTAGGGACAGTTGTTAGCCACCATGTGGGTGCTGGGATTCGAACCTGGGTCTTCTGTAAGAGCAGCCAGTGTTCTTAACTGCTGAGCCATCTCTCCAGCCCCCTACTCCAAGTTTTAAAAAAATGGTAATAATAGGGGCTGGAGAGATGGCTCAGCGATTAGTACTGACTGTTCTTGCAGATAACTTAGGTTCAAATCCCAGCACCCACATGGCAGCTAACAACCAATCGTCCTTAATTTCAGTTCCAGGGAATCTGATGCCCTTTTCTGTCCTCCATGGACACTGTATGACATGAGTGCACCTACATACATGCAGGCATAACACTCATATACATACATTTAATTTAAAAAATTAAAGAGCACTCATATATATAAATTTTTTTAATGGTAAAGCTAGGCATGGTGGCACGCACATTTAATCCCAGCACTCAGGAGACACAGACAGGCAGATTTCTGTGCGATCAAGCCCAACCTGGTCTACATAGCTAGGTTTCCAGGCCAGGTAAGGCTACAGGGACACCAAAAAAAAAAAAAAAAAAAAAAAAAAAAAAGAGGGTAATAGTGAAAATAATAAAACCATGGTGTTGGGTGGTTTTGATATTTCACCTTATAAGAAAACAAAATACCTGGTTTTCATTAGAACTTAGTTGAAAAAAAAAAATCAGCTGCCTTGAAACTTCTAGTCCACACTTGACCCGGGAAGTGGTCAGAAGCTTTATCCAAGCTCTTCTGAAGACCACAGGCAAGTCAAGCTGCACAGAACTGAGATGTCCTCATGGGAAAATCCTGCATCAGTCAGAATCTGGCCTCACTGCCGAACAGCTTTTTGATACTGCCTATGTGCTGACCACCCTTTCCTTAACTACAGAAGGCAGGGTAAAGCTGTCTGCCTGATCTACACCACCTGTCTGTAACGAGACTCAAATGAGCTCAGGCCTGGGCAGAGTGCCTATGAAGGTGCAGCAGATATGCACAATGGGATCACTATGACAAGCCAACCTTCAGAGAGTTGACATTCCCAGAGGGGAGGTGGAGAAACAAAGTCACAGAATGCAGACATTCTTCCCAATCCTGTGTTACTCAAAGATTTTTCCAAACTAGAAAATAATTGCTCATCAATTCTTCCCCATGCAGAGAACACACTTCCTAACCAACGATTCTGCATATTTGTGCCCAACCACCACGTACTACAGTGGACCCCACAAGGGGTGAGCATGCAGTGCCTGCCCCACAGGGCTCAGTGCTGGGATGTGGCCAGGTGCAGGCACAGGAGATATGATCTAGTAAATGCTGGGGAAGAGAAAACTCCCATTTTCACTTGTTTAGTTACCTGAAAGCTCCCTTCAAACGGGCCCAAACAGAAAAACGTACTATTTCATTCCTGTACTTTAGATGAGAGAAGACCAGAATCCCATGGTGTGTTTCAGCTTTATTGAAGACATATTACAGTAGACAAGTCGACAAACACATGCTCTATAAAATATACATTCTTAAGTGAGAAAATATAATTGGTATCAGGAAAGGGCCACACTGAACAACAACTTGGCTTATATTTCTCTTTATATAAGTCTAACACCAGAGCTGCTCAACCTGACCTCCTCTAATGGGAGAAAAAAACTAACAGAGGACAGTAGAAGTAGAAATAAGTCCCTCTGTGGACCAAGAGGCCACCTTAAATAGCCAAGAGATACTTCTAGAGTACTTGATCACCTCAAGATCGGCTTCTTTCCAAACAGTTGCTGCAAGACTACTTCACTCCTCACATCCAACAGGGAGAGTCGAGCTGCTCTTCAGTCACACTCCACCCCTTGGGGACTTATCCGGACTGGAAGAAAATACCATGAAACCTTGAGAGGGTGGATCCAAATCCTAACTCTTAAAGTTCAACACCGCCAGGGACTGGTGCAGCTCACTTGTCTGGACTGTGCAAGACCACTGGGTTTGATGCCCAGTGCATCACACACACACACCTTCCTCTTTCTCACAAACCTAAGGTGAGTCTTGGGTTTTCAGATGCTGTAAGTGCAGTTTGGTAACTCAGAACATATAACTTTTGTCAATGACCCAGGCAAATGTCCAAAAAAGAAGGGAGGCTAACTGCTGTATATTTAGATTATAAACTAAACACAACGTTTAAAGTGGGAGGAGAGGTGGGGAGCATACCTCCAAACTGGACTGGGAAAGAGATAACAGAAAAAAAAAGCGCTTGAAGGTTGAAAAAGCAAAACATAGCTCAAACTTTTATGGTCCCATTGTTTTTATAATTACCATGTCATCTGTATCAAAACAATAAGAACAAAGTTCCAGCTGGAGCTGGAGCTCAGAGGGAGAGCACTTGCCTGCAATGCAGGTTATAGGTTCCATCTCCAGTAATGCCAAAAGGAAAAAAGTCCAAAGATGGAGCATGTTTCACATAAAGACAACAAATACCGGGCTGAACTCAGTATAAACTGCATGCACAAAGCCCTGGGCTCAACGCCCAGCATCATCAACAACTACATCTGTTACTTCGTTACGCTGCTAGCATGTCGATGGATACTGAACCCATGAGGAAAGGCCATACTGACACCTTTGGGTAAAATATTAAGTATAAAACTGAACACCGTTAACACCAACTCCTTTCTAGTTGGGGGGGGGGGTCCCATAGGTTAAGAAATAACAATAAAACTTGGTCAAGCCAGGCATAGTGGGCACACCTATAATCCCCACACTTGGGAGGCTGAAGCAGGAGGACTGCCTATCGTTGCATTTGGCGATTTTTGATGATAAATGGAAGATGTTCAGCGTCATCTTGCCCACACACACTCGATCTCAATGCAGAAATCTCTTCAGCATGACTAACAGATCAGTTTCTACACATGCCTTTCCCTCAAAAGGCAGATCATTTTAATTAGATAAATGTAATCATCAGGGTTAGCTTATACAGATTGGGATATGAACACACACCACTCTGTAGATTCTGTCCTGTCATTTCATATGACAACCTGTAAGTAAAGACTTCTAGCATGTCACCCTTTTCACAGGAAATTGGATGACAGTGCCTCAACTGCCTGGTGTAGACTCATGATAGACATCATGGTTCCTTTTACAATCCCTCAATGGGCAATGTGCAACCAATTTTTTTTAAACGTTAAAGTGACCTTACCAAAAAATACCCATGCATAGCATTCTGAGTGCACCTCTAGGGGCAACTATCTGTTGGGGAAGGTTTCAGGTACTTCCAGTTCTGGACAGCAGCCTGAATGTGAAGATACAACTAACAGAAAGCCAACGGCTTAGGTGCAGATCCTGTGCCAGTAAGGCCTGGAGCTCAAGGAAAAGGGTACTTCTTATAGGTAGACTTGGAGAAACAGCTTAAGAGGGGCACAAATTAAGAGAAGTTATGTATCCTACTGAAATGCAGGGGAGAAATGATTTCTCTGAGCATTCCATTTGCCTGACTTTGCAGTGTTCTAGATTAACTAAGCACTGTTCTGCTAGGAAGAAGTGCGGGGGAGCCAGAGGGCAAAGACTATTTAGTGGAAAGCATATGCAATGAAGTTGTTTCAGGAATTCCTTTTCCTAGGATAACAATTATTATTTTAAGACCAGAGGTAGACCCTTCCTGTTTGTAAACAGATTCCTGACTAGCTATTTGGGCACGCAGGGAGTATCTGGGGTGACAGTTCAAGCATCTAGCCAACACAATGAAGAACACCCCCAGGAGACCACAGAAGGACCAATGGTGGAGCACAGAGGCAATACTCCTGGGTAGTTTCTAGAGGACAGTTGGATGGTCTGCCTTCTACCCTGACAAGTGATCGCTGATGCTCACAAGCATAATCCCTAGCAGCCAAGCCCCAAGGCCACTTTCCACTCTGGAGAATCGGACTGAATGAGAGCACTAGATTTCTGGATGCTTCACAGTGTGAAAGTAAGACATACACCAGTACAAATTAGCTTTAGCACAGCCCTCACAGATTTGGTCCTCTGGTGTGCTGTAACACCATTATACATACATTACAACAAACCTGCTGTTCCAGGGAGCAAAGGGAGATTTTTCAACTCAGCCAGGATTCTTTGCATTTACTGAGACTGTTTAGAAACAGAGGACTTTTTTTCCAACTGAGCATTTCTTAGAAGACCATTACTCCTGTATAGGGGAAATAAATATGGCTCGAGTCAGAGCAAGCAGCATCATTCTTGTTCTAGGCTAACAAATAGTTCACAAAAGCAGTTTTTTATTAAGGAGCACAATTCTCTTTGGTTCCCGGAGGGAAGTGCTGATTCATAGGACATTACAGCTGGAAAAAGGTTTAGAGCAGCCAGTAAACAGTCTCATCCCATAAAAGAGGACTCGGGTCTAGGGACCACATGGCTAGTGAAGAGCAGGGTGGAGAAGGAAGCCAAGTTTCCTAACTCCTAGTCAGACCAGCATAAAACCAGAATACAGTTCAAAAGGAAGAAGGCTTATAGGCTGAACGGATAAGAAAACTTATACTTTTAAAGTTCAAAGTGAAAATGAAGAGAATGTGACAGTTCAAAGAAAAGTTAAAAAAAAAAAAACTAACAAAGGGCTGCTGTCTGTGAGAGAAAAATGTAAGATTAAAACAAGTATGAAGAGGTATGAAATCTATTTGACCTTTCTGACAAAAAGCTGAGGAGTTATGTGCATTTGGATCCCTAGAAACAGACAATGATTACAGGGTGAGCTTTCAGAGGACTAGAGCCATCTAGCAGGTAACTCGGGTTCCACATGGAATAAACAGTCTGGGGAAATGTGAACATTTCTTTAGTGTTAGTCTTTGTGTATACATAGAGCTCTTTGCTACCAGAAATTCAGAAAGCTCTTTGGCTTCAATAATAGCTTGTATAAAATAAAGATCACTCCAGTAGCTGGGCGTGGTGGCGCACGCCTTTAATCCCAGCACTTGGGAGGCAGAAGCAGGTGGATCTCTGTGAGTTCGAGGCCAGCCTGGTCTACATAGTGAGTTCCAGGACAGCTGTGGCTACAGAGAGACCCTGTCTCAAAAAGACAAAAAAAAAAAAAAGGGACCACTCCGAAGTTGGCAGTGCAGGAACTTCTGTATGCTCAACTCCCAAGAACACACTTGCTCTCCTAAGACATTCTCTACATCAGTAAAGGATTGAATACAGAAAAAAAGCAATCTTTGGTTTCCTTGTCAACACAGTACTTTACTGAAAGAAGACAGTCCCCAAACAAGTCATCCCCTATGCTCATTCGGCCGTGACAAGGTTGCCAGGCTCTGAAAGAGCAAGACATTTGAAGCTGGAAAGTGATTATCACCTGGCACCTATAAATAGGTGGCAAATGATTACATGCACGAACCTTCGAGCAGGGAGTAAGTAGTTAATTACACCAAGACTGTGTTTGTGTGCACACAATCACTAAGTGCCTGTCCCATTAATGTACTTCTTAACAAAGAGTTTTAGAACTCTGTTAAACAAACTTTTTGGATCTCACTAAACTAAATTATACAAAGTCTGTCTGTGAACTGAACTGAGAAGCTGCTGCCAATATAGTAACTAGACATATATAATTTTAGCATACAAAAAAACATTTACATTGCAGCCAACACACAAGGTCAATGAATAGAAAAATTATTTATAAATGCACATATATTTACAATAACATCCCTGGTCAATAGGGACAAAAAAAAAAATTTCACAAGAATACAAAAACCTTTGACCTGGTACCAGTTGGTCAAACTTGGGATTCTTGCTTAAGACCTTGAATATCAAAGCCTCAGTCTCTACTGTCTACTTAACACCACTGAAGAATCCCAGGTATACTTTCCAGAGGGCTCCAGAGCATGTTTGTTCCTTGGAAGGCAAAGCAGATTGTCAATGTGGCGATGCTTTCTCAGGCTCAGGACTGGGACAATCCAGGCTAAGCAGCAAAGACTCTTCCTGACGCAATCCAGTGGGGCCATCAGGAAGGACACCTGCCCGTGTCTTCCTCTGCCAGTGCTGTGCATTTTCCACTTGATAACATGTCTGTCAGCTGTTACCCTTTCTTCACCAGGTATAAGTCAAACTAACGCCAGACCTACCTTGGTGTGGTCAGATGTAATTAGAAACAAAGAGTAATGCAAATGCTGACTCTGGGTTTCTTCTCAACTCTGAGGTAGTAAATACAAAATTAACTAACTTGCGTCTCTGCCCAGTTTCCTCCTGGACTGGGCTTCATGTGCCCTCACTACCATCTTGAATGTTCCGAGTCCTACTAAAATCAAAACTGTGGTCATGTAGCCTGTGGCAGGACATGGGGGGAGAGCAGTTTGGATCTCTCTCTACCAGGCCCTCATGTTGATGAACTTGAGGTGACTCAAGGGCAGGCGTCTGAGAAAAGGGAAGCAGGCCCAGTTCTCTGTCCATGTTCCACAGAGGCTGCTGCAATGTTTCTGAGAGTGAAGAACAAAAGTTATTAGTGGTGACTAGAATTTCAAAATGAATTTCTTAAAGCTTGATGTACTTTTAACACAATCCATAAAAGAAACAAAGCGGCCCAGCAACCTTGATAAGAACAGAGATTACAATGCCACAATTAAAAAAAACAACAACAAAAATAACTGGAACTGTGTTCTACCAAACCCTTCTATTCAATAAAACTAATCCATTACTTACTCAAATTATGCTATTGGTTTTCACCTGTTATTTTAGTAGCTTTTCTGCTTCCAACTTTAATGTAAAACTCTAGACATGGGGCTAGAAAGATGGTTCAGTTGAGGCATTTGCTGCTCTTCAGGGACTAGAGTTCAGTCCCAGCACCCACACTGGGTGGCTCACAACTGCCTATAACTCCAGCTCTAAGGGATCCAACTTCTTCCTCTGGTCTCCATGAGCAACCGCACTCATGTGCACAAGCTCACACACAGACACACAAATATATATCACTGAAACAATAAAAATAATTTTAGGGGGAAAAACCCTCTAGACACATAGAAAAGGAAGAAAGCCATTGTAATGACAGTTTCCTGATGCAGAGATAGTAATTATTGAGCTGATGGAGCTGTTACTTCTTTAAATACATTTTAAAAGCTGGGTGTGGGGCAAGCAGGATGACTCAGTTGGTAAAGGCACTTGCCACACAAGCCTGGGACTTGAGTTCAACCCCCAAAACTCACAAAGTGGGAAGGAAAGAATCAACTCCAAAAAGTTGAGCCATCTCTCCAGCCACCAAAAAAGGCATATTTAAAAATAACCATTATTGAGGGCTGGAGAGATGACTCAGCGGTTAAGAGTACTGCCTGCTCTTGCAGAGGACCAAGTTTCGATTCCCAGCACCAACATGGTGGCTAACAACTATCCATAACTCCAGTTCCAGGGAATCCAACACCTTCTTCTGACTTCCTTGGGCACTATACAACATGGGTATACTTACACACATGCAGGCAATACACTCGTACACATAAAATAAAAAAAAAATAATAGCAGCCAGTCATGGTTGCACACGCCTGTAGTTCTAGCACTTGGGAGGCAGAGGCAGGCAAATCTCTGTGAGTTCAAGGCCAGCCTGGTCTATATAGTGAGTTCCAGGCCAGTTGAGGCTATAGGGAAACCCTGTTTTAAAAAAATTAAAAAAAGAAAAAATAATAATAAATAATAATTTTAAATAACCATTGTCAACTAGGCATGGTGGTACACACCTTTAATCCCAGCAGAGGCAGAGGCAGGCGGATCTCTGTGAGTTCAAGGCCAGCCTGGTCTACATAGCCAGTTCCATGCCAGATAGGGTTACAGGGAGACCCTATCTCAAAAAAGACCAAAAAATAAATGAATTAAATAAATGAATAAATAACCATTCTAATGGACTGAAGAGACAGCTAAGTGGTTAAGAGCACTGACTACTCTTGCAGAGGACCCAGGTTCTACTCCCAGCACCCACATGGCAGCTAACAACCACTTGTAACTCCAGTTCCAGGGGATCCAATGCCCTTTTGTGGTTTCCACAGGCACCAGGCACATACATGGTGCACATTACATACATGCAGGCAAAACACACATATATATAAAATAAAAATAATGTTTAAAAAATTATTTTCCAACTTCCAGTATTAAAGATCAAACAAATAATAAACAACAAAGAGCAAACAAAAGCAACTATAGTAAATCAGATTATTTGTACTTGGGTTTCAAAAATGTACATTCTGAGCAGACACAGTGGTGCACATCTGTAGTCCCAGCACTTGGAAGACAGAGGTAGAAGGATGGAGAATTTAAGGCCAGCCTGAGCTTTTAAAAAAAAAAATTATTTTAATTATTTTCATTTTTTATTATGCCTGCATGTACGTAAATGCACCTATGTCATGCAATGACCACAGAGGTCAAAAGAGGGCATCAGAGTCCCTGGAACTGGAGTTACAGACAACTGTTAGCCACCATGTGGGTGCTGGGAACCAAACCCAGGTCCTCTGCAAGAGCAGCCAGTGCCCTTAACCACTGAGCCAATCCCAGCCTGAACTTCTTGACTGCAGTGGTGAGCTCTTTTCCAAACACTGTTTACTGACGTATTACATTCATGTGGGACATATTTTGGTTAAAGCTAATCTGACATTCTGGAAACAGACACCCACAAATGAAAGTAAGACTCACCAAGAATATAAGCTAGGCCAGGATTTCTCAAGATTTAATATGCATATAGGGGCTGGGGAGACAGCTCAGTGGGTAAGAATGCTTGCTGTGAAAGCAAGAAGATCTGAGTTCTAATCCCCAACTCTCCTATAAAATGCCAGGCAGGTGTCTGAACCCCATGGGTTGGGGAAGAAGATAGGAAGATCCTGAGAGTTCACTGACCAGTCAGCCTAGCTAAAACAGAAAGATTCAAGTTTAATGAGAGAGCTTGTCTCAAAAAAACAAAGGTGGAAAGCAACAGAGGCTGACTCTAGATACCCTACTCTAGTTTCTGCATGCTTGCACATACCCCAAATACATGTGCACATAGACCCCCACAAAACAAAAACAAAGATTTAATATGCATACAAGCCTGTTATCTCAGACTGAGGCAGAAAGGTTACCCTTGAGTTTGACCAAGACCCTGTCTCAAAAAAACAAAACAAATATGCACACGAAAAACTAGGAACTTATTAAAATTTGGACTTGGATTCACTAGGTCTGGGGTGGGACCGTGGCTGCATTACTAGCAAGTTCTGAGGTAATGCTCGAGGTGATGAATCCTAGCCCACATTGACCAGAACTGAGTACTAGGCTAAGGATGGACAACGTACAAAGCAGTGTCATTTGCTCATCTCCTTACTTAGAACCAGATCCAAAATGAAGGCAGAGCAGACTGCAGGTTCTCTCATGGCATGAATATAAAACTAAGAGACTGGCTTCAGTGACCTGTGCCTCTAGAAACATGGTTAGAGCTGGTCTCTTGCAGTGCTCATCTTAAATCATGCCAGATCACTTACTGCTACTGGGAGCACCCCTGAAGCAACATGGCACTTCTATCTTCCTCTGTAAACTCATAGTTTTCATCCCCTGCCCCATTTCCAATATTTTTCCTCTGACAGAAGACAGCAGCTGATGAGTTTAGATGTACAGGAAGAAATACTCAGTAGTTCCCTTCACAGTCTAGAAAGGACTGTGTTTTACTGACAAGGCTGATGTAATGTTGAGATTGTTTGACAGAATAGCAACCCAAAAAAAACTTTTTTTTAGGCTTCTCATACCAAATTATATTCTGAGTACTTCAAGCCTCCATTATTTAAATAAAGATGGGAGAAAAATATATAAGGCTTTTTCTTTGTGGCCTCTGAATTTTTAGTAGTATGAGCTTGCCATGCCCATAAAAGCTGTTTCATCCTACTGATAAAGACTTGTAATTCAAATACATAACACTCTCTAGCTGGCACCAGTGAACAGTGGTTAATTACTCTAGTATACCAATTTGCTTGCTTCCTGTCAAATGAGCATGTTATCTCTACAACAGAAGGAAAAATTAGATGAAAGTGATAGCTCCAAACAAAAGCATCCATTACCATTGGTCATCTGTGTGGAAGGAAGAGTCTCATTTATCCTCTCGTGGTTGGTGGGAAAGGCAGACAGGTCTCTGTCTACTGAGGATATCAGACTCTCCAGAGCAGCTGCATCTTGGGGAGGGTGAGTCAAAAATGTCTCCTTGGGCATGTGGACCATGAGGCTGGACAGTGTCTGATCTAGAACGTCCTCCTCAGTGACGTATGTGTACGGACAGTATTCTCGGGTCCTCGAGTAGATGTTGGCATTGTCATAACAATCTGAACAGATCACCCGGGTACCAGGGACACCTAATAAACATGGGAAAGAACCCAGATATTTTTCTGTTAAGGAAATGGCTTTGCAATAATCAATTCTCTTGAAGTTATGATCATCATACCATTTACTGCAGGCTTACTTTATAAACCAGGTAAAATTTCAAGGTTGCTGTGAATAACAACAGCAGAGGAAGTAACTTGACTGAAGTCATATCACCAACGAAAGAGCTGAAATTTAAACCCAGGTACTCTGGTTTCAGAGTCAATGCTTTTGAATACTAACACGAAACTTCTGGGGAGACCAAGCTCCAGTCAAGGGATCTAAGATAGAGATGGCCCTCTACTCTGGGGTGCAAGCTTGGCTCAAGCAAACAAGGGTTACGATGACTCCATGAGAAACCATGTTACTTTCATAAATCAAGAAGTTAAGCAACATTAAATGCAAGGATTCTGACTGACAAGTTGTCAAAAGTAAAGGTTGAATGACAGGCTATCCAGACTATTACCTATTTTGAAAACTGAATGAGGTAGAAGAGGAGAGCTTGTGAGAGAAAATTACACACTCATCATCAAGCAACAGAATGTTAGAAATAAAGACCCACAGCACTAGGGAGGGAAGGCAAGAGGGTGATCTGAGGACAGCCTGATCTACAGAGACCCTGTCTCAAAAAAAAAAAAAAAGAACAACTAAAACACACATCTCAGGACTGTCAAGATGGCTCTGTGGGTAAAAGAGCCTGAATCCAAGTCCAATCCCCAGAACCCACAGTGGAAGGAGAAACTCCTGAAATACCTCCAATATGTAGGCTGTGACATGTTTTCTCTCTCTCTCACACACACACACACACATGCACGCATGTACATGCACACACACACACAAACTAATAAAATTTAAAGAACAAATCTCAAGTGACTTGCTCATGGTCACAGACCTAGAAAGAGGAAGAAGTAGGAATCAAATCCACCTTCTCGTGTCTGTCACTTCCTAGAGAAGTGACAGTGTGAGAAGGAGGGAAGACATGCTCACTTAACCAGGGAACATTGTGTAGTCCTCTGCTGTTCTCCATTATATGCTGAGGGCCATTCTGCCTTAAAATCTACCTGTCAGCAGGAGAACCAAATGCCCCTTGGATGTGATCTGAAGGATGCTTATATCTCTGAAAGAGTAAAAAGACAGCAAAATTTCAAGTTCTAGAATATCCCCTTCCTATAGTAATGGAGGCCCAGGAGCCAAAGCTGTGAGCCTCAATCCCTTGTTTAAGGATGTTTCTTTCTGTAAGATGGCTTTCTTCTCCTGTTAAGACTAGTCCATTTTCATTCCATTTTGCATGAAGCTAAATGTTCTCAACTCAGTGTTTTATTTTAAAATATTGCTTCAGGCTAATGAGGAAAACTATGCACTGAACAATAAACTTAATAGAACAGGCTGAAATTATAACCATGAACAGCAGAGTCCCTACCATCAGTGCCTTTGTGTATGTATCCATTGGCAGGAGGCATAAGTTGCTGATGACTGCCTGCCTCAGAGTTGCTGTAGCCCTCCTGTGGTTCAGACAGTGTTCCTTGGGAAGACAAGTAGCTAGGAATGTCTGCAGGCAGATTGAGCTCCTCTGTAAAAGAAATATTTTTAACTCTCAAACTCAGGCAGTTGAAATCAACATTCAGGGGAGGACTTCACAAATGTGCTCTACTTTGATCCTGGCCCGGAGAATGGAATTGGCTCAGGATCTTCATGCATCCCTAACATTCTTTATTACTGAAATTCCCAAAGTTTCATTTTAGAAGTATTACTTGGTCTGCAGGTGTAGCACAGTGATCACGTACTTGCCTTCCACGTGCAGGCTATGGGTTCAATCTACAGAACCACTGAGGGTATGGGTGAGGGGTGTTAACAAAAGAAAGAAACCTAAATCTACAGCACACTTTCCCAATCTCTCTGCTCTCTGTCTGGATCCCATCTCAGGGTGAGGGGTAAAAGACTGATTTGTTCTTGAGGGCTCTACTCTCTCTTGCAACACAGCTATGATGGAAATGAACCCGAGGCTCTCAAGAAAGAAAATGCAAAAAACAAAACACACACAACCCAGCTTCGTGTGACTTGTCATACTTGTAATCCCAACACTCAGGAGGCAGAGGCAGGGGTATTGTTGCAAGTTTGAGGCCAACCTGATCTACGTAGAGATCTCCAGGCCAGCCAGGGCTACACAGTGAGATCCTCTCAAAAGAAAAGAAAAAAACAAAGAAAATACACTTGTAATATATTTCTAAGAGGTCAAGGGAAGTACATATGAACTCTTAAAACTATTCCACCAAATGGTTCTGTTATATCAAGGAAGTTGGACATTTTAACAGAAAACTTCCTTATATCTCCTATCACAGACAAATCACAGCTCCTCAGCTTTTTGTATTTTGCACTAAATCCGACATTCCTGAGCATAAGCCAGTGTCATCTGGGGACCACTCACCTGTGTTTGTGATACTATAGTCTTCATTTTTCCTCCTCATGTGGTAAATAACAATAACCCAGATCAAAGAGGTGCCCACAACGCAGCAGACCACAACAATGATGACAATGCCAACTGTGGTCCAGCCATCATCTTCGTGGCCGATGCTATTCTGAGAAGAGTCACAATTGGGGGATGAAATGACATTTAAGTAAATGTGTCCCCGTTCCGTCCCAAGAGTATTTGACATAATGCAGGTGTATTTCCCAGCATCTTCTAGCCCAGCATCTACAATGATGAGAAGCTGGTTGGCTGCAGCAAAGAAGTGTCGTTCTGTAACCAGGAGCGGTCCGTCATCTTTAGTCCAGTTGAGGCGAGGGGCAGGACTCCCTCCAGCTATACACTGTAACACTGCTGTTTCACCTCGAGTGACTGTCTTGTCCTCCAGAGGTCTAATAAATGATGGTGTCTCTGAGAGAAGAACGTTAAAAATATCAAATTAGGCAAATTCTTCCCTAAATCCTATTGAACCACCATACTACTAAAGGTATGATGAGGTGTGTGGTTTCATAAGGATAGCAGTTAATATTTCAGAAAGACAAAAATCTCAAAAAATAAAAAAAATCTAAATCTGAGTGGGTATTGTAGTCTGTGTCTATAAACCCATCTACTCTATTCAAGAAGCTGAAGCAGGAGGATTACAAGTTTAATGCCAGTCTGAACAACTCAGCAAGACCTTGTCTCAAAAATAAAGTAAAAGGGCTGGAGAGATGGTTCAGTGGTTAAGATTAGCACTGGGTACTCTTACAGAGGACCAGGGTTTGGTTCCCAGCACCCACATATCAGCTAACAACCGTCTGTAACTCTAGTTCCAGGGGATCCCACGCCCTCTTCTGACCTCCTCGGCATTTCATGATATAGGTGCACTTACATATACGCAGGCAAAATGCTTATACACATAAATAAAAAAATAACTTTTTCAAAAATCACACACAAAAAAAGTAAAAAAGGGCTAGGATGCTAGCTTAATAGTAGAGTGCTAGGCCTACCATGCACAACCTGTGTCTAATTAAGACTAACAAAGCCTGGCATGGTGGCACACATCTATAACTCCAGCACTTGGAAAGTGGGAAGAGGTGGAAGCAGAATGATCAGGAGTTCAGGGCCAGCCTGTGCTACATGATACAATCTCAAAAAACACAAATGAATGAAACAAAATGCTAGTCAGGGAAATTTTAAGGGAAAATACTTTTTTCTTTTCTGGTTCTTACTATGTAAATCTGGCTAGCCTGGAACTGGCTATGTAAAACTGGCTGACCTTTACTGTAATCTTCCTACCACTGCTTCCTGAGTACTGGGATTACAGAAGTATGCCACAAGGCCCAGAATGGGAAGACATTTTTTTTTTAAAATGTATTTTTATTTTTATTTTATTTTATGTGTATGAATGTTTTGCCTGCATGTAAGTATGTTTACCTATGTCATGCAATGCCCAAGGAGGTCAGAAGAGGGCATCAGAGCCCTGGAACTGGAATTACAGACAGCTGTTAGCTACTATGTGGGTGCTGGGAACCAAACCTGGGTCCTCTACAAGAGCAGTCAGACCCATCTCTTCAGCCCCAGAAAAAGACATTTTTAAAGAATTAAGATTATAGAGCTACTGGTGTTGGAGAAATGGCTCAGTGGTTAAAAGCACTGGCTATTCGTGCAGAAGACCCAGTTTCAAATACCAGCACCCACATGGCAACTAACAACCATCAATAACTCCAGTTCCAGGGGATCCAACGCCCTCTTCTGTCCTTCATGGGCACTGCATGACACGGGTGCACTTATATACATTTAGGCAATACATGTATACACATAAAATAAAATTAAATTAAAAAAAGATTATGGAGCTGGAGAGATGGCTCCACAGTTAAGAACACTTGCTCCTCTTGTAGAGGCCCCGGGTTCAGTTCCCAGCATCCACATATAAACTCTATAATTCCAGTTCCAGGGGATCTAATGCCTTCTTTTGGCCTCCATGGACACTGACTGACACAGATGCATTTACAGATATGCAGGCAAAACACTCATATACATAAAATTGAAATATTTTTTCTTAAAAATCAAGATTATGTGAAGTACACTGAAAGTAAGAAAGAAAATCTAACCAGAAGACAAGTTATTTTTTATATTAAATTTTTTTAATTAGGGAAAAGATAAGTTTTTTTTAGGTGTTCTATGAAGCAGTATTAAACATTAATGCAAACTCACTGAAGAGTAAACAAAACACATGTGAAGTAAAAGCATTAGAGAAGAATGGGGCTGAAGAGATGGCTCAGCAGTTAAGAGCACTGGCTGCTCTTCCAGAGGACCTGGGTTCCATTCCCAGCACCCACATTATAGCTAATAACTCTCTGTAACTCCAGTTTCAGAGGATCTGACTCCCTCTTCTAGTCTCCATATTATATCCATGAGTGTACATATATATGTGCAGGAACACACTCACACATAAAGTAGGTAAAACTAAATAATTTTTTAAGAAAAACATTATAGAGACAGACTTAAAAGAACGAAGTTGGAGGCTGGAAAGATTTTTTTATAGAGAACAATTCCCAGCACCCACATGGCTGCTAACAATCATCTATAACTCTAGTTCCAGGGGATCCAATGCCCTCTTCTGACCTCTGCAGGCACTGCATGACACATGTGCACTTACCTACATGCAGGCAATACACTCATACACATAAAATTTTTTTAAAAAATGAAGTGATGCTGGGTGTGGCGGTGCACTTTTAATCTCAGACCTCTGTAAGCAGAGGCAGACAGATCTTTGAGATAGCACATAGCACAACCTGGTCAATGTAGTGAATTCCAAATTCCAGGCCAGTTGGGACTACAGGGAGACCCTGTCTCCAAAAACAAACAAGCAAAAAAAAAAAAAAAAAGAAAAAGAAAAAGAAAAAAAAAACGAATAGGAGATCTGAAATTTGTGATAAAGATCCTGATTAATTTTGCCCTCACCTGACCTAGTAACATCCTCAGCTGACATATGCCTGTATAAAGTGTCAAAAGTAGTTTTTTTGCCTTCTCAGTTCATGAGTAGCTCTCAGAGGCTCCAGTAAAGACAGTGGCTTTTAACAAAGCAAATGTACCTAAGACAGTGAGAGAGGCATTGGCCGAGAGGCCACCCGCAACGTTCTGAGCCATGCAGCTGTAGATCCCCATGTCTTCTATCTTCACATTGGTGATGAAGAAGACATCATCCTCGGGCATGACATGCATGCGTCTTTCTCGGGCTGCAGGGAAGTCAGTGCCGCCGTCTTTCTGCCAGGATATCTGAGGTGCAGGGTGCCCCTCCGCAGCACATTCTAATCTGGCCATGGCACCCGTGCGAATAGTTAAATCCATTGGAGTTTTAAGAAAAGATGGCATCTCTGTTCAAAAAAAAATTACCAAGAGAAAGTAAGCAAATCACACACACACACACACACATACACACACACACCTACCTGACCATCTAACAGGGAAAATGCCAACTGCTGTAACACTCCATTTCCCTGGACTGAAAATGAATACAGCTTTTAAAGCCATCTTTTCCACCAGAACCTCAGTGTGTGGAGCACAGTGACAAGATAGTTATAGAATATATGCCATGCCTGTCTGAACATTCTGATGAGAACAATCTTTCTGAACTCCAGTTTAGAACTTGGTATTTAATAGCACTCTCTCACTCAGGAGCCAAATGAAGCTTCCCAGACTAACATCAACAGTTGTCAAGAGAATCACATTCTTAAAAATTATGCTTTAAAAAGTCTCACTTAAAAACACAAAGGAGGGCACAAGCACAGCTTTTGGTTGCACACAGTCCCAAGTGCTGTAGTTATTAAATCTCACAGGCAATAGATAAACTGTTTTAGAGAAGTTTTTTATAGCCACAAGAAGAGCTTTATTTTCAAAATGATTCCGTGTGGCCACACGTACAGAGGAATAATGATCACTGGGCCCAGAAATATCTAAATACTCTCAAATATTGGAGAAATCTATGAACAGCATTGGGAAAATTTTCATAGTTTTCAGAGAATTATGGTTTTGGAAATAAAATTGAGATGATCAAAATAATGTCTTTAGAAGGACAAACAGCAATGGGAGCAGAGCATCTCCCATTGCTGTTTGGCAGAGGAATTCTGGTCATTAAATGAGCAGCCAGCTAATCCAAAGTCCACCTATCCTACACATCACAACCGGAAGTTAGTCACAGTAAGATTTCCCCTCAAGTGTGGGGCATAGCATCATTATGGTCAAGTGATTCATGATTTAGACAAGAAAAATCCTTCCAAAGTGGGGGGAGTTAAAAAAAAAAAATCAAATAGCATAATCGCTTACCATTGACAGTTAGTTTGGCTTTCTGAGAATAATTAGAACCAAAGTGATTAGTAACAATACACTGGTATTTTCCTTCATCTGTGAAATTCACATTGAAAAGATGCAAGATACTAGTATATTCCAGAGCTTCTCCAGCCTGCTGCCGATAACGAACAAAATTCTCAATATCCACATCATACAGGATTTCACTGTCCTTGCGCCACAGAGTAGACATGGGAGAATCGCTGCTGCTCACTGCAGTGCACCTCAGAGTCACATTAACGCCTCTTAAAGCAACTGTGGTTTCAGGGTGTGTCCTTATCTGTGGCTTCAGAAAATCCTCTGAAGGGAGCAAAAGCAACAGTGACAGGTCAGTTATTTATTGCTGCTTTAGATGTAATTTAAAAACAAATACTGTGAAACCAGGAGATTCATTTACACAGGAGCATATTAAGCATATTAAGGTTGAAGGAGACTACAAAGCTAGAACCTAATCCCTTATTTAAAGGTGAAGAAAGCAAAGTCTGGAAAGCGAATAATTTGCTCAAAGACACCAGCCAGAGAAGAACTTGGCCTGCAGCTCAGGTTTCCAACCTCGACACCCAGCACCCTTTCCACCATCCCTCAAGTCTCTTGAGTGCTTAGCATGCATTTCCTAAGCATTACCAATTAGAAGGGGAAAAAGAGACATCTCACATTAGAATACAAGAGAGGTTCTAATCTATGACCCTTGTATATGTGTACTACATATACAAAATGTCTACAATAACCATTATCCCCTTCTGGTACAGTATAGGAAACAGGTATAGACTTATTCTTTTCAAACTTAGTCTTTTTCAAAACTTACTTTTTTCAAATACATTACTTGAAAATACTTTGTGTGTAGCTTTCAACATTAAAACACTGAAAAATTCCAAACATACCAAATATACAATTGAAAACTGGTTTTAAGCCAGGCGTGGTTGCGCATATCTTTAATCCTAGCACTCCGGAGTGCAGAGGCAGGTAGATCTCTGTGAGTTCAAGGACAGCCTGGTGTACATAGCGAGCTGGGGTTATAGGGAGACCCTGTCTCAAAAAGATCAAAAGAAAAAGAAAAAGAAAACTGGTTTTAAGGCATGCCTGGAGCCATATGCCTGGTGCCATCAGAAGCCCCTTGGTGCACTGGATCCCCTTGAACTGGAATTACGGGTAGCTGTGAGTCGCATGTGGGTGCTGGGAATCAAACCTGAGCCCTCTGCAAGAGCAGCCAGTGCTCTTAATCGCTGAGCCATCTCTCCAGCCCTTAAAGTACCCTTTAAAAGGAAATTTTCCTGGTGGTACTTTTCAAAATCTACTAAAAGTTTCTATTAAAAAAAAAAGTCAGGCGGTGGTAGAATATGCTTTTAATCCTGGATTTAGGATTGTCTATATGACTGTCTCTACTGTCTCAGGGAAAATAATACTGCCACTTTAGTCTTAAGAAATTGCATCAAGGCCAGGTGTGGTGGTGCATGCCTTGAATCCCAGCATTCAGAGGCAGAAGCAGGCAGATCTCTGTAAGATCAAAGCCAGCTTGGCCTACATAGTCAGTTCCAGAGTGCTACAGGAGATCCCGTCTCAAAAAAACAAAAAACAAAACAACAACAATACAGTACAGTGAATGATTCAGAAGTCTTACTACTATGCATTCTGAAGTTAACAACTCCCCCTACAGTTCAAGCTAACATTCTCACTGCCATCAAAGATGATCACTCCGGGCCATGACTAGTAGAGCAGCCTTGAGTAGGCCTTGTGTAAAACTGAAAAAGCACAGAGAGGAAAACAACTGTTCATGAAGCATTAAGTCAGACAACACAAAATATAACCTATTTTTATAACCAATGTTTATAAAAATAATCACTGAAACACCATTTGGAGTATACCACAGCAAAGGACACAGATGTGCTATTGGACAGGCATGTATTTGGAATGATGATTTTACTCCCCTTAATTTTGCTGTTAAGATAGCAGAGTTATATATAAAATTTTAAAACAAAAATACAAACCACAGACAAAATCCTTAAGGTCCACATTCAGGATGCTTTGCCCTGCTAACCATTCAGGATGTGCACAGCTTACATTCACAGAATGGTGGAAGTTGTTATCAACCAGCCACTGAAGTAGCCACTTCAAATGACAATCGCAGAGCAAACTGCTTGTGTTCAGAATACTGCAGAAAAGGAGGGAAGAGGAGAGGATCCTTTCATTTTAGTTTTCATTCCAAGTTTCTTCAGTATTAAAACTTTGCTACACATTATATATTTTCTTACCAAAAAATATTAATCTAATTCTAAGAAAATAAACTCAGTCAAAAACAACTGAGTTTAAGTATGTCAATGTCATGAGGAACAAGAGACTAAATCAAATGCATTATTTGTTTCTTTGGGGGGGGTTGAGACAGTCTTGTTATGTAGCCCAGGTTGGCCTCAAACTTGCAATCCCAGATATATACTGTGACACCCAATTGAAATGCATGATTCTCGATTTTATGTGTCTATTTTGCTTCCATTTATATAGGTGTACCACATACATGCAATGCCCACATGTCTGAAGAGGGCGTTGGATTTCCTGGAACTGGACTTTTCAGATGGTTGTTAGTTACCATGAAGGTGTTGGGAACCCAACCCCGCTGCAAGAACAGCCAATGCTCTTAACCACTAAGACATCTCTTCAGCCCCTTTTATTTATTTAGTTCAAGTATTCCATGCTGGCCCTGGGCTCACTGTATAGTAAAGGGTGACCTTGAACTCCTAATCCTCCTGCCTCTACCTCCCAAATGCTAAAATCACAGGTATGTTGGGGCTGGAGAGATGGCTTGCAGAAGACCTGGGTTCGAATCCCAGCACCCACATGGCAGTTAACAACTGTCTGTAACTCCAGTCCCAGGGGATCTGACAGCCTCTTCTGACCTCCTCAAGCATTGCATGACACGGGTGCACTTACCTATGTGCAGGCAATACACACATACACATAAAATAATAAATATTTTTTAAATTACAGGTATGCAATATCATGCTTGCTTTAATGTGGTGTTGGGGACCAAAACGTGGGTTGGGCAAGCACTCTATCACTGGGCTCTATCCCCAACCAAGACAGTATTGACACTGGAGAAATTAGGAGTGGACAGTCTACCAAACATTACTTTACAAATGTTAACCTCACTGAGTATGAAAATGATGATGTGGGTACACAGAAAAATGTCCCTGTTCTTAGGATATGCATACACACATAGGAGTGAAATATCATGATGTTCACAACCTTTAAATGGCCTGAAAACAGCAAAAACAACAACAAAAAACCCTGTATTAAATACAGTATATCCACAAAAATTGGATCTGTATGTGTGAAGAGAGCAAAGGCGAGAGTAAGAAAAGGGTAAGTTTGCCAAAAAGTTAACAGTAAATCTTGGTAAGGACATGTGGATGTTCATTGTACCAAACTTCTGAGGTTTAAAATTTTGAAGATTGGGATCAAAAGCTATTAATAAATTTTGGAGCACTGAGAAATCTTTATTGTGGGGAATATATAATTATTTTCAAATTATTTCATCAAGACTGAAAGCACTTCATATTTCTGGCAATATGTACTTCAACGTAAAGAGATACTTTAACTTTTTCTTGTGGTCTATAATAGGCCCATAAAACAGATCTCTTTGAAGAGATCAGTGTCTTCTTTTCTTTCTATGACCCTTAAATTTAGAAGGAGAGAAAGCACATGATTTAGGGAACAGTATAACTTGTTTTTCTGTACATGACTGAAATACTTTAGTCTTAACTTTTTTTTGGGGGGGGGCATATAACATGGTGCATGTGTAAAGGTTAGAAAACAATCTTTGGAAGTCTCTCCTTCCAGCATGGGACCTTGGGATGGAACTCAAATTGTCAGGCTTGCCTAGAAAGTGCTTTTTACCTCTCAGCCATCTCCCCAGCCCTTAAAAACTTTTAAAACCATCATTTATTATTTATTTATTTTGGTCTTTTTGAGACAGGGTCTCCCTGTAGCCCCAGCTGACCTGGAACTCGCTATGCAGACCAGGCTGGCCTTGAACTCAGAGATCTGCCTGCCTCTGCCTCCCTAGTGCTGAGATTATAGGCATGCGCCACCACACCCAGCAATCAACATTTATTAAAACTTCTATGCTTTTTAGTATTTCTCTTGGTGTTTTTCATAAGTATTTGGAGGCTGATGAACATATAAATTTTAAAATATTTTTTCAAGGCCTGGAGAGACGACGCGGCAGTTAAGAGCACTGGCTGCTCTTGCAGAAGACCCAGGTTCAAATCCCAGCACCCACATGGCAGCTGACAACCATCCATAACCCCAGTTCCAGGGGATCTGATGTTCTCTTCTGACCTCTGTGGGCACTGAACAACACGGGTGCACACACTTACATGCAGGTATAACACCCATACACATAAAATAATTTTTTTTCAATACTTAAGTATATATCCACACATACACTTTTGGTTTGTTCTTGTGTTTGTTTGGGATTTTTTTTGAGACAGGGTCTCCCTATAGCTCCAGCTGGCCTGGAACTCACCATGTAGACCAGGCTGGCCTCGATTCAGAGATCTACTTGCTTCTGCCTCCTGAATGCTGGGATTAAAGGCACTTGCTACCATGCCTGGTGCTGTTCCCCCTTTTTTGAGACAAGGTCTCCACAGCTGGCTTGGATTCACTATGGAGACCAGGCTAACCTCAAACCCACAGAGATCTGCCTCCTTCTGCCTCCTGAGTGCTGGGATAAAAGGTGTGCATCACCACACCCAGTGCCAAAATCTTTTTAAAATTTACTTTATATGGGGCAGTCCAAGCTTGCCTTGAATTCAGGCTATGCTCTTGCCTCATCCTTCCAATTGCTATTATTAAGGGGGTCTGAGTTACCACCCTTGACTGCTAAATGTTTTCTTTGAAAAAAATTTGAGGTAAGCACTGTCAATCCTGTTTTCTGGAAATAGAAACTGATATTTTGGAGATACACATCTCATCTTGTCTAAAGTAAACAGCAGATTTAGGATATGACTCCAGATCTCGTGATTCTACTAATTCCTTCATCAGAGTTCTAGAAGTTCTTACTGAGTCCAATGCTATGATTACTAGTGTTGATTATCCAAGTTATCAGAAATTTGTACTTGTTAAGAATCTTTTCCAAAAACCAATCTGAAGATGAAGCATTTCTGGTTTATATACTATCTACAAAAGCTTTCATGAAAGCATGGGTAAAACAGTAACTGTAATGACAAAGGACTGAGACTGATCATGGCTAAAGATCTGGTAAGAGTTCTAAGGAGTTATTTCTGCAGCATACAAAATATCAAAATCATAACTAATAACACTACAGCAGACAGAATGAGCTCGATACAGCTTCTCAAATAGTTACATTAACCTACAGAAAGCTTAGTATAACTTTATTAACATTTTTCAGATAAGATACCAAATAAACCTATTAATGTTTCTCTTTCTATAAGGAGAGAGATCTATCCTTTTAAGATTTTTCAGAAGAGTCTGGTGTCATGGCATATACCTGTAGTCTCAGCTACTTGGGAGGCTAAGGCCAAAGGATCACTTGAGCTCAGGAATTCAAAGCCAGCCAGGTCAATATGAGACTGCATCAAAAAACCATGGATTTGGGGGCTGGCAAGATGGTTTTATGAGTAAAGGTACCTGCCCTGGAGACCTGAGTCTGATCCCTAGAACCCACATAAAGGTGGAAGGAGGGAACAGAATCCAGAAGTCCTTTGACTTCTACACACATGACCTTTACACATATGCTCCCCACAAATCACCAACATGAACACATAATTAAAAAACAAAAACAACCAAGAGCTGGGGGAGGGGGTGGTATCAGTGGTAGAACACTTGCCTGGCCCTGGTTTTGATATATTACCACAAAAAGTTTTTTCCCCTCAAGAGTCAGCTAAGTAATCCCAAAGTTAACTTGAAGTCAAAAAGACTTTATGAGAATTTGAGAAATTTGTCAAAAAAGAGAAACTCTGAACTTAAAAAACAAAAAAGGGAGCCGGGTGTGGTGGCACACACCTGTAGTCCCAGCACTTGGGAGGCAGAGGACAAAAAATAAAAGGGAGAAAAAAAAAAAATACAAAGTGGGAGGAAGATAGGGATGGGGGGTCTTGGGTGTGGGAGAGTGGGGGGAGGGAAGATGGTTATTATCAAAATACATTATATAAATGCACGAAATTGAACAAATAAACATTCTTTTTTAAAAAAAGGGGGAGCTGGAGAGATGGCTCAGCAGTTAAGAGCACTGACTGCTCTTGCAGAGGGCCCAGGTTTGATTCCCAGCACCCAATATGGCAGCTAAGAACTGTTTCATAACTCCAGTTCCAGGGGATTCGATGACATCTTCTGACCTCTGTGGGCACTGCATGACATGGGTACACTTATATACATGCAGGCAATACACACAAAATGACAGTAAAGTATTTTTTAAAAATAAGAAATCCCCCAAAACTAGACCAGTAGGCCTGACGGTATGATAAAATTAGCATTTATGAAATTCTAGGTTCTATCCTAAAATGAAGGTAGGAGACAGTGACAGACACAAGAACAGATGAGGACAGACAAGAAGATGA